TTGTATATTTGGACTACTGACAGTACTATGGTTATTGTGGCATCTGTCCAGGAGTCCAGAAACTTGCTAGATTTTTCATTTACATATATCTTTCAAAAAAATTTAAAATGTTGTCATAAAATGTAACATCACCTTCCTGAAATGTTTTTAAGTTTCCAGGCAAAAGCATTATACCCCCAAAATAAGCAGTTAGAAGATCTAGAAAGGTTACAATACAGTATTTTCTATTGATGTTCTCAGTGATTGAATTAAAGGCTCAAGCGAGACGAGTGCGATTAATTCACCTGGAACATCAGACGATGAGGTCAGATTGAATGTCTGGAAATTTCGAACTCAGTCTCCACACATATGAAAAATAATTAATATAAATGTTCTCTATCAAAGGTTAAAGTGCAGCCCTGTAGATCTAGAAATATTCATGTGCTATTCATGGCTATTTCTGGGTTGAATTGTACAGAAAATGTAAACTATATTCCTGACCTGATATAGTTGGACCTGCAGACTTTGTTGCCAGGTTATCTGGCGTCCCATCATGTAATACAAAATAATACAGAGACTGATGACCACAGATTGCACCAGCAGAAGTTTATCATTGGTGTTGGCTTTTGGGATTTTGGCTTTTGGGACGTGTATCGCTGACTTCTACTGCGGATACATAGGACTTGGGAGAGAATAAGTACATTGATCAGTCACAACATTAAAACCACTAACATGTGAAGTGAATAACATTGATTATATCATTAGAATGGTACCTGTAAAGGGGTGGGATATATTAGGCAGCAAGCGAACAGTCAGTTCTTGAACTTCATGTGTTGGAAGCAGGAAAAATTAGTAAGTGAAAATATGAATGAGTCAGAGCATCTCCAAAATGACAAGTCTTTTGGGGTGTGCCGGCATGCAGTGGTTAGTACCTACCAAATGTTGAACAAGAAAGGACTACCTGTGAACCGACAGCAGGGTCATTGGCACTTAAGGTTTATTGATGCGTTGGGGCCAGTCTGGAAGATTTTTTATGTTTATTAGAGTCTTGCACCCCCATTGGACCACCAGTGATCTGGCCACAGAACCCACAGGAACACCATGGATATAACTCCCACTAGACTACCTAGGATTAGATCTCCCATACAGAAAGGTAAGCAGGAGGAGGGTCTTTTTAAATTATTAAATAATAAAATGTGTGGGAAGGCTGTAGTCACAATGCAGCCTCCAAATACACTATATAACTGTACAGACCAACATACATCACACTCGGCCACCCACACACAAATCAGAGAGGGACTCCCAACACACAGCCACCACACACACACTCACACTCAGCCACTCTCCCCTCACATCACATTAAACAAAGCACACATATATGCCACACACATCACTCTCAGCCAGCCCCCCAAACAACACTCATCTAACCACAAACAATATATACACATATCTCCCACACACATCACACTCAGCAACACTAACTCAGAGGTGCTCTGTGGCATTCATACACTCTGCAAATAACTAAATGTTATGTTGTTAAGCTATGTGATACACTTATATAAGCTGAAGTCAACATGCTAGCTTCACATCAGTTTCAGAGCATCCTATATTCCTTGCAAGCAAGAGAAAGGCTCGCAGGGTGAGTAGCAAAGTGATAGGGAGCAGGAGAATCAGCTATGGGAAGGTTCTCCTGTCTCCCTGTCACCTTGTCTGTATGCTTATGTATTTACCAAATACAGGTTCATTTTAGGAAAGAAATAAACTGTGACTTTTGCCAGAGCCACCAGTTTTTTTCAGTATTGGATCATAAAACAAAATACTTTCATAACACAAATAACTACAGATATTGACATTGCTTGCCTTAGCAAAGTAAAACAATTGTGACCTTATAAAGTGAACTGTTGGAAAGCATGCAGTGTTTTTACTGCAATGACTGCAGATATAGAATAATAAACTGTATTAGTGTACAACATGTCATTTATAAGACAAAATTATTATAAATCTCTAAGTGTAAAATCTCTTCTAGTCACCTCCGCTGTAAAATAGATTAAGCTAAATCAATACTGTGAACTCTGATTTTGCTTTAGGTCCTTGTCTTAAAGATTAAGTGATTTGTTCTGGATTTGGAATAGGTTGAGAGCACGTTATCCTCAAGCACAGCTGCAGTATTAATACGTGAGTTGGCCGAAAGAAGATTTTATCCTCAGCAAGACAAAAATTGACAGCAGTTTCATTACAATTTTCATAGTCCTTGTTAATTCATTTCTACAGTTCCAGTTAAGCACTTAGTATACCAACAGGACATTGTGCCATAAAATAAATAATACAAAGGCATTCAGTAGCATTGTAGTTGGTGGGTTCCAGCTTACAAAGAAAGTTTTAAAAATGACAACTTGAAACTTTAATGCACACATGCGTATATGTCTAGATGAATGTGCAAGTCAAAGTTTAATTTATATTGTATTTCATGCTGTAATATTACAGGGGGGTATGCTGCAAGAATCATTTTAGCTAGGCCTCCTATCTCTAAAACAAAGGCCTGTACATTGGTCCACTCCCCCCGTCTCCAATTGTTTTTTAGAGCTTCTACAATTTTGCAGTATTTGTACAGGGTGTCCAAATAGAGAGAAGCTAAAGATTGACAAAGACCCATTGTAGGGTCGAAACGTTGCTGCATTCATGTTGTTCCAAATGAATGTGCCTTACTGAGCTTTGGAGCACCTAAACCTATTTCTTCTCAATTAGATTAAACTATTTGGGGTTTGTGCTAGGCCCAGGGCTGGTTTTACTCATATGAATGAGTGCAGTTCCTTATCTGTTTGTTGGTGAGCCAATCCTCACCCGTTAATAGCACCAAGCAAATCCATTGTTCCAGGGCTCCTGCCCATCCACTGGGCCCTAGACAGCTGTCTATGGTCACCTTATGGGTAATCCTGCTCTGATGATAATGTAAGAGTAGGTTTAGATAAACAGACCCTTTCCACATGTTGAGACTGCTGTAGATTCCTATCTGTTACACGTGCAGACTGTGGCCAATCAGACATCAGCTGGAAGGATCCAAAGGATCCAAATACAGTAGCAAAACTAGGCAGGCACACTGTAGTGAGAACAAGTGGAAGGATCCCAGCGCTAGACATTCCCTGTAAGAAACCTATGGCTGATGCTTCTCTATATTGTGGTGACTTTGCCACTCCCACGATGCCTCAGCATGCACATACATACGGTTGGCCTCTAACAGAGAATACGCACTTAGCATTTTCTCCAGTATTGCCACACACATGGCAATGGAAGTGTTAACTAATTAACAAGTAATTAATAATAAAAGTGAACACAGATAATTGTTTAAAAGTAGCACAACCAATGGCTAACTTATACTTGCTCAAGGAAAGTTATTTTCTTAAATAGACCATGTAATTCTAGTGCGGCTGTTTTACCATCGTATGACTATGCTGCTATGAATTCACACCAGACAACCCTTTTAGCATTTTACCTGCCAGGGAAGTAATTTTTCTTTAATTGTTTGAGAGACTTTCAATAACTAATTTATACTTGGGCTCACAGGCTTGCTGTGTTTAATCTTTTTAGCAGTGTTCTGAAAATAAAAAGAAAGATTGATAATCCATCTACGACAGAGTGCAAGCAAAATGCACTATGTTTATCCAAGCTGTATTTATTTTCTTGCCTGCTCTATATATGGAACATTGAAACATTTTTGCGAAACACACAATTATCTCGAAAACTGTTCCCTGACTTTCAACTTTCGGACTAAAGGTTTTTCAAAAGATAACACGTTAAACAAAATAAGAAAATACTTGTAGTACAGTGTATTTTTGGTTTATATTCAAAACATTGCAACAATTAATGGCTACCAGTTCACAAATCTAGGAATTGTGGAGAATTCACAAATAATTTTTGGGTGAAATAGCTAAGTTTCCATTTTTTCAAAATTCAACTGTTTTACCAGCTTGCCTATATTGGCCAAAATTGTGCAATTCACGTGTCAATTTTCATGTTTTGTGAATAATGCCAATGATTAGTTACCATTCAGAGCAATAGTTAAAAATAATAACAATTCTAAATGTTGTTAGTAGTGATGTACCGAACGGTTCGCTGGCGAACGGTTCCCGGCGAACATAGCATGTTCGCGTTCGCCACGGCGGGCGAACATATGCGCGGTTCGACCCGCCCCCTATTCTTCATCATTGAGTAAACTTTGACCCTGTACCTCACAGTCAGCAGACACATTCCAGCCAATTAGCAGCACAGCCTCCCTAGCAGACCCTCCCACCTACTGGACAGCATCCATTTTAGATTCATTCTCAAGCTGCATGCTTAGTAAGAGGAGGGAAAGTGTAGCTGCTGTTCATAAGATAGGGAAAAGCATAGCTAGGTTAGGGATAAGGGTATGCTTTTTTTTGATTTTTTTTTTCTATGTAATGTAAATGCACTTAGTTGTCTGCCACTGCTGCCAGCTTCTGTGTCAGGCTCACAGTGCATACTGTGCCCATTTCCCCAGTCAGTGCCACCAATTACATCTGGTGTCACAATAGCTTGGATTTAAAAACAAAAAACTTTTTTCACTGTTATAGATTGAATAGCAGTCAGTTGTCCTGCTTGCGCTGTGTCAGGCTCACAGTGGATACTGCTGATTTCCAGTCAGTGCCACCAATTACATCTGGTGTCACAATAGCTTGATTTAAAAACAAAAAACTTTTTTTACTGTTATAGATTGAATAGCAGTCAGTATCCTTAAAGCGGGTGTGTTACGCTAACAGTGGATACGCTGACAAGTGCCACTAATTAGATCTGGTGTCACAATAGTTTGGATTTAAAAAAAAAATAATCTTTTTTCACTGTTATAGATTGAATAGCAGTCAGTGTCCTTAAAGCTGGTGTGTTACGCTAACAGTGGATACGCTGACAAGTGCCACTAATTAGATCTGGTGTCACAATAGCTTGGATTTAAAAACAAAAAACTTTTTTTACTGTTATAGATTGAATAGCAGTCAGTGTCCCAAAGCGGGTGTGTTACGCTAACAGTGGATACGCTGACAAGTGCCACTAATTAGATCTGGTGTCACAATAGTTTGGATTTAAAAAACAAAAAACTTTTTTTCACTGTTATAGATTGAATAGCAGTCAGTGTCCTTAAAGCGGGTGTGTTACGCTAACAGTGGATACGCTGACCAGTGCCACTAATTAGATCTGGTGTCACAATAGCTTGGATTTAAAAAAACAAAACTCTTTTTTCACTGTTATAGATTGAATAGCAGTCAGTGTCCTTAAAGCGGGTGTGTTACGCTAACAGTGGATACGCTGACAAGTGCCACTAATTAGATCTGGTGTCACAATAGCTTGGATTTAAAAAAAAAAAATCTTTTTTCACTGTTATAGATTGAATAGCAGTCAGTGTCCTTAAGCGGGTGTGTTACGCTAACAGTGGATACGCTGACCAGTGCCACTAATTAGATCTGGTGTCACAATAGTTTGGATTTAAAAAAAAAATAATCTTTTTTTCACTGTTATAGATTGAATAGCAGTCAGTGTCCTTAAAGCGGGTGTGTTACGCTAACAGTGGATACGGTGACCAGTGCCACCAATTAGATCTGGTGACACAAAGCTTGGATTTAAAAAAACAAAACACTTTTTTCACTGTTATAGATTGAATAACATTCCCTATTCTGCTCTGTGTCAGTGTGTATCAGGGATCCTTAGGACAGGTGTCAATCCATATCTGCCAAGTGACCCGATGTAGGGGGAACTGTCCCTATTCTGCTCTGTGTCAGTGTGTATCAGGGATCCTTAGGACAGGTGTCAATCCATATCTGCCAAGTGACCCTATGTAGGGGGACCAGTCTCTATTCTGCTCTGTGTCCGTGTGCATCAGGGGCTCTGAGGACAGGTGTCAATCCATATGTCAAGGTGTCAATATGTCATATGTCAGGTGTCAATCCATATTTATTGTGATTTAGGAATGTTAGGTGATTTCTGCCCTTTATGGATTAAAACCAGACTCTGTATCAACTGTGTAATTTTCCATGGGAGTTTTGCCATGGATCCCCCTCCGGCATGCCACAGTCCAGGTGTTAGTCCCCTTGAAACAACTTTTCCATTCCTATTGTGGCCAGAAAGAGTCCCTGTGTGTTTTAAAATTCGCCTCCCCATTGAAGTCAATGGCGTTTCGGGCGGTTCGCCGGTTCGCGAACATTTGCGGAAGTTCGCGTTCGCCGTTCGCGAACCGAAAATTTCGGGTTCGCGACATCACTAGTTGTTAGCATTTTTAGTCTACATTTTGAACAATGATATATTATAGCTTTGTCTTGCCATGGCACTTTCTCCTTTTCTGCATCCTCTATCTGTTAATATGTCAGGCATTCCCTTAGCAGTTCATCTTTGACTGCCATCTTCGTGTTTCATCCAGGACTGTGGCCATGACACTCATCAGGCCCCGACCTCTTTACTTCTGGCCGGTGTACAGTCTCTGGGTGCTAGATTTTAAGTGTAATCCTCCATTCATAGTGAGTAGTTTAGGCTTTGACATCCATGGTGACCAGCTCTTCTCTTGGCTAGGTTAATATTCTGGCTGGGTACCTGATGACTAGTAGTGCCTATGTGGGAGAGGTGGCGAGACTCATCTTCCTGTCTGCCGGCACCTCCCACGCCTCTCCCTTCTGTCAGTCCCTACATTGGCTTCCTGTAAGATATAGGGCTTAATTTAAAATTCTGGTTCTTGCTTTCAAATCTCTACATAATGCTACTCCCACCTATCTATCCTCCCTAATACATATGTATGTCCCGTCTAGGCCTTTACGCTCTGCTGACTTACGTCTATCTTCTGTCCATACTCCCAGTTCTGATGCTTGCCTTCAAGACTTCTCGAGGGCTGCACTGTTCCTGTGGAACTCACTTCCCTTTTCTGTTAGATGCTCACCCAGTCTCCACTCCTTCAAAAAAAATCATTAAAAACCCACTTCTTCATAAAAGCTTATCAAATAAACTGTTAATAGCTCCCGACTGATTTCTCTCTTGCAACTGTCATTAGTCTAATACTATCCTTACCTTTTGTGTCACTTTACCCCACTCCTTCTAGAATTTAAGCTCATTGAGCAGGGCCCTCAACCCCTGTGTTCCTGTGTGTCCAACTTGTCTGGTTAAAACTAGATGTGTGTTCGTCCACCCACTGTAAAGCGCTGTGGAATTTGTTGGCCCTATATAAATAATAACATAATAATAATGTGTTGATGGCTTGGATCTTGGATCTTGTTCTTGACATTGAGCTGGGACTTGTCTGACTCTTTGGAGGTGCTTGGATGTTGCCATCCTTGCCTCTTCTGTCATGTGTTTGTGGTTCCCCCTGGTACTTGTAGATGTTCTCTACATCTTCTATTTGACCTACTTGAATTCTTTCTGTCCTGATAATCTTTTCTCTTTTTGCTGTGATCCACCCACACTTATCTAGTCTGAACAACATTTCACTGTCCTTACTGTATATCCTAGTTAGGTGGATCAGTAAGTCAATGCCCCCTCACACTTGGTATACAGCTTTAGGTTGTCCATGTAGAGTAGGGGGCTGATGGTAGGTCCACTCTTCAATCTGTATTTGTGTCCACTTTTTATGATGATGTGGTTAAGGAGGTTGAGGCATATGCTGAACAGCACATTGATTTTTTTTTTACTTGTGTTATTGTCCTGAAATCCTGAAATTGGCTTCTAGTTGTTTTCCATTTGTTCGTCAAGTTGATGATGAAGGCTCTAATTGCCTTGTTGACATTGTATAGAGCCAAACATTCCAGTATCCATGTGTCATTGTGTCATAGGCTTTCTTGTAGTCAATCCAGGCTGTCTGTCTGTCTGGTCTTAGAATTCCATGTGACTACTTGGTCTACCAGCAACTGGTGTTTTGATCCCTTGGTGTTGTTTCTAATCTCCCTTTAAATATTGCTTATGTACTGATTCATATGCCCTTGGATCCTGGAGGCTATGACCAGTATTGTTCTACCTTGACCTACTCTTAATGTAGGCTATTCGTTGCTGGATATCTTCCACTGTGATATATATGCATGTATATTTTCCACACTCATGCCAATATGCTTATGTCTGCATGAGCATGGAGAATTGCCCTGCTTAGGAAAGTGTCCCTAAGCAGGGCAAATCACAACAGACAGGGGTTGCCTGGAATGAACATTAACATCCTCGGCTTATCTGGAGAAAGGGGCTGCAGGTAAGTAACAATATAACAGCTCCAAAAACTCATAAATATATGACTTATAACTCTGATTAATCATTTATGTAGTGCCTTGGGAATTGTATGATAAAGTGAATCTGTCAGGACTGATTCACTTGAAAAAAAAAATATAATATATGAGCAGCTTATTTCTATACCTACAACTATTTGGTTTCTAAGTAACCTATTTTAATTGTTGTGTTTTTGCTAAGGCTGGAACTACAATTAGCACTCTCATTCTTCAAGACTTCAAAAGTACAAACAACAGAGTAAAGCCAGCTCAGACATGTTGACTGTGTAGAGACCTAATATAATAGAATCTACAGGGAGTGCGCACTAAATATGATAAACGCAGCATACTTCAGCAATAGGTACAATTCACCAACCTATGCTGCAGTGAAATAGAAAGTACCAGCCAGAATGAGTAAAGATGCACACTAGCTGTTAAAATTATGTAATCACATTGTTTCATCTCAGTGAATGCAGATATATAGGTGTCCACATTCTTAGTAAAGGAGGCAGAGTCTTCATTAAGATTAAGGGGTAATTTTCTCATAATATCTTTATGATATAATGTTTGCATACACACTGTGGCAAACAAAACCTCGCCACAGGCTTTTGGAGGAGCCTGCTTGCCAGCCTCCTGCCCAAGGAATATGGCCCCTGCAATAGACTGGGCTAAAATACTTTAAAAAGACTCTGTTCGTGCGATTGGGATTATATGGTTCGGTTCCCGAACAGCCACACGAACCAGAGACCACTTGGGAGCTTGTTAAACCCTATTAACACGTAGTAATGATTCTAACCGCAGTGTTCTAATTGTCTGAATGGGTGGCCGCTGTTTGCATGAATGATCACGAGGTGGCGGCCATCTTGTTCGCATGAACCCAGGCAGCGGTGTTTGGTCGTCGAGTTCCTGGAACTAAAATCGAACACAGAAACTCCCGAACACTGATGGACTTCCATCATCACCTGCGTCCGTTTCTATACAATTTAGAAGGGCACTGTTCGATGGAATTGTTCGTCTGGATGAGGCGAACAAGCTCCAGGGTAAGAATATTAACTATGTTCAGTAGTTTGTTTGTTTTCAAACTACCGATCTAGACCAACTGCAAGCCCTGATTCCCTGGAACTGGTTTGGGCATGGGGCCATGCATGCAGTCGGTAAAATAAATGACTTCCAGGAAATTCCTGAACCCCTGAACCGATCTGGGTGAATTTTGGATATGTTGGTTGCCCAGATCAGGCCTATCAGGGATGTAACTTTTGTGGGGGTTTTGTGTGTTTAAATTTAATTTTGGGGTTTTATAAAAATATATGTTTTTGTGTCTGGAGATAATTGAGTTTAGTTCAGTTCACGACTCAATTATCTCCCAGGTACAGAGGAGGGATACCTATTATGTATGGGAGTGTCCTGTATCTGAGAGCCAAAGTGATTGTGTATTTGTTTCTACTGTGGTTTACTCTCAGGTTCAAGGGGGAGTGTCCCTTGCATGGGGACATGCATAAATGGTCAGTTGTGGCTACCAATTAACGAGTTCCTGCTTACCCTCAACATAGAGTCTCATCTCATGTGTGGGGGAAACAGCTGTATCTACCCTGGGGATTGCTATATCACTATACTCCCCTGGGATTATAATCACTTGCTCTTGTAAGAGCAGCCTGCTTTGCTCTATGGACTAGGATAGGTCTACCCACTGAGAGCTGGATCCTGGTCTTGGGTCCAGGTTGGGTGGAGGACAGCGAGACCCCAACCAAGCTGTAATGCTGGAAGTGGAGGCAACAGTGCTGATGGTGTGTGGTGGAGTGCTGGAAGTACTCTGTGAGCAGTAGGAGCATCGATTGACGGAGGCACCCAGTCTGTGTGCCAGGCCATCCGTCACACACACTATGCAAATGGCATGTTATTGTGATGAAATAAATACAATTACAGCACTATAGACTTTGTTCATCACTGTTCAGTATAACAAAATGTAAGAGAGTCAGCTAAGCATCAGGTATAGTGACAGATTTCTTTTTTCCACCTCAAGTGGACGTTGGAATTTTTCTTCCACAACTGGTCTTTGTCAGCTGGAGATGACTCCTTTTTTACCCTCAACCACTGCTGTGCTGATCTGCAGTCTATTGCAAAACTGACACAAATTCT